GGGCCCACCCCCTCATGACTGGCGGCTCCAGCGCCCTAATCACTGCCGCGCTCGCTCCAGCGGCCCCCGGGGCCCATCCCCCGGGGCCGGGAGCGGGGCGGGGACTGGAGCCTCCTCAGGGCCCCTCCGCCCCCTCCTTACGTGCCAGCCGGCCGGGATTGGCCGAGCGCCGTCCTCGGGCCGACCCCCGGCATTACGTAACGAGCTCCGGGACCTTTGCCCCGCTCACTCGCCTCCGCTTATGTAACCGGGGCTCCCCTGCGCGGGTCCCGCCCCCCAGGCCAATGGGGTCCCGCAGAGCCGGCAGCGGCAGCCAATCGCGCGATCCGGGGGGGCGGAACCGCGTCACGTGGTGCGCGGGGGGGTGCGGCGCCCGCGACCGCCCGGCACGCTGCTGGCCTCGAGACTGCGTGGGGCCGGGTCAGCTGGGCTAGCGGCGGCGCGCGGGTCCGCGGGAGGCGGCGGCGGCGGCGGCGGCGGTTGAAGGCTCGGCCCGGGCGGGGAGGCCTCGGGGCCCGCCGGGCGCGGTCGCCCCGAGCCTGTCCTGCGCTGTGGGAACTTTGTGCTTCAAGTTGCCCCTTGCCGGGTCCGGGTCCTGGGTGCACGCCGACTCTCGGGGCGGCCGGAGCCGGGATCCCCCTGGGGCTGCCCAGCCCGCGAGCCACAGCCAAGCTTCCAGCATCAGATTGTGTTTCTCTTGACACTTCTCACCTTTGTTTCTACCGTCCCCCTCCAGGGTGGACCTCCCGTGAGCGGAGACGTCCAAGACTGCAGGGAAATACTGGGGAGAAAAGTGCCCCCGGAGGAGCAGAAAGAGTACCTCTACTTGCCGACTTGTGATGTCTGACATTTTCTCTGAGACGATGGCCTGGACCAAAATGAGAAGTACATTTCCGTCGCCGATCGCAAAGTAGCAAAGTAGCAGGAGACAGGCTGAGGACTGCCGGGCGAGCGATGGATCCCTGTGAAGATCTAGAAGTGTCCGGTGGTAAATCTCAGGACTCTAGGTGGGGGCAGCCTCATGAACTTGAAGGACCACAGGCCAGCGGTCCTGAGGCGCTGGGGAAGGACTCTGCTGAGATGTGGAGCCGGAAATACCAGCTGCGGAGCAAATACGTGCAGACCAGCAACAGGTGAAATAACCTGATGTGTTTGTTGTTCTCTGCTGGGGTAGTAGAGGGGAAAGGCGGGCTTACATCTTTCTATATTTTGTTTGTAAGCCTAGGAAAAAGTTTAAAGACACTCAGACAACTTAGAACGAAATACTCTGGAGAAACTGAAGGAAATTAACCAAAAGGTAAAAAGTGGTTGAGGAGTTTAGCTGACTCTAGGCTGAAGTGGGAATAAGAGAGTGGAAAATGCTTGATGTTTACCAATTTCTTTGCCTGGGATTCTCCACCTGTTAAAAAAAAAAAAAAAAAAAAAAAGTGGTGAATAATAAATCTGTGAACTAAATGAGCTGATCTGTTAAGGGCTTAGAAAGCAGGCCTGGCATGAAATATGCTGTTCAGTAAAAGTTGACTTATTATAATCGAAAGTGTGAATTTAGAATCTTTTTTATCTTACAGTGAACCACAAGATCAAAACAGAGTTTCCAAAGACCTTATAATGGTTGTCCAAGAAATGAAAAAATACTTTCTGTCAGAGAGACAGAGGAAACCAAGCACCCTGGATGCTCTCAACTATGCCCTTCGCTGCGTACACAGCGTGCAAGGTAAACGGGCTGGAGAGGGAATACAGTCGTGCACGGACACCACTGCTCGTAAACAGCAGCCAGGCCAGAGCAGTTGTCTGCCTGGTTTTAGGCACAGAAATGTTGTTTGTTTGTTTGTTTGTTTGTTTGTTTGTTTTTGCGGTACGCGGGCCTCTCACTGTTGTGGCCTCTCCCGTTGCGGAGCAGAGGCTCCGGACGCGCAGGCTCAGCGGCCATGGCTCCCTGGCCCAGCCGCTCCGCAGCATGTGGGATCTTCCCGGACCGGGGCACGAACCCGTGTCCCCTGCATCGGCAGGCGGACTCTCAACCACTGCGCCACCAGGGAAGCCCTTGAGTACTTTTTTTTAAAAGCAAAACACAGGGCATTTTATGGGAAGAGCCCCACAAGGCAGAAGTTCCCAGACAAAGACGTGCATCTCAACTTGTTACTACCTATTACCATCATTTTGCTGCTTTTTCCTAAAAGCACACAACCTCCTCACTAACACAATTTTGAGCTTTTTATGGTGCTTTATGTGAGATGTGCAAATCTACACTGATGGCATTAGCATCTTAGTTTTTCACATGGGCACTGGGAGAACCTTATTTGTGTCATAGCTTAGTAACTGTGCGGTATTTTGCTGATTTGTTTCACGAGAGTAGAGCTCGGTATAAGCACATTTTGAAGATTCACTTTTTAGAAGAATATTGTCTTCTATGACTATTAGGGGAAAAATACACTTGATTAAATACATTTACATTTCCCTGCCATAGACATACTTTTAAAATATAGTCATGATGTATCAGGAATTTACCAAATTAAAAATGAATGGTTGTAAACATTTTTTTCTTTTTATGACTTTTCAGACTTCTTCTCAAGGGATTTTAAAAATACATATTCTGTAGCACAAACCTCTGTGGCTTCATAGAGGTATATAGTTCCTGAATCCTGGAGTAATGTTTCTGCCATACAGATTTCCTGTGTGTGTATTTGGAATTTTTGGTTTCAGTACCTTGTTTTGGTACCTTCAGTTTGTCTCATTACTTGTGATCTGGAACATGCAGAATTCATAAAATTCAAAATCTTAAGTTTGTACAACTATCAGTATTTTAGTTGAACGAAGAAAATGATCTGGTTTCAAGGAAAACATGCTGAGGTGTCCTCATCCTAAAAAACAAGCCTGCTTTTATACTGATAAAAAATGATTTCCTAAAGATACTGTTGTCACTGGACTACCTATTTATTTTCCTGTGTTTCTTAGCAAACAGTGAGTTTTTCCAGATTCTCAATCAGAATGGAGCGCCTCAAGCAGACGTGACCATGTACAGTCTTGAGGAGCTGGCCACCATTGCTTCAGAGCACACTTCCAAAAACACAGTAAGAATTCACAAATTTTGCCATATCACCCTGGGTGATTTTTCCTAACGATCTTATCTAGATGTAGATTTTTTAAAATAATAAGTGAGCATTTCAGTAACTACAATTTGAGGTCAAGCATAGGAGAAAACTGCTAAAGAGGCCTTATGGAGTTTCTCCTGCCCTTGCCAGAGAAAACATCTAAAAACAGGAAGCAACACATAAGTAGTAGTTGGCTTTGCTTCTGTCATGAGGTGCCTCTCTCTCCTTAGCATCCCTGAGTTCTCTCAAATGAAGAAAAAAATAACACTGTAGAGTGATTTCCTGCATCTTATTCTAATCTCCGAATTGTTAATTTCTATTTATATCATTCTCCGTTCCAATACCTTCTACTTCAAGTTGTAACAACTGGATTTTATAGAACAGGTGAGTTGAGATGCTGTCATTTTTTGTAAAATTTTGGAAGAGGTATTTAGTATATCTTTTTTGAATCTCTTCATGTTGACAGAATAATTGAGCCTCATGTTTTGCTGATATGATAGAGATTACTTAATTTATGTGTAGACCTCAACATAATTGTAACTTAAAGATTTTATAATATTGGAGCATGAGCTATCCCTAATGTTTTACAGTGCTTATTTTACTAACTGATGTGTTTATAATACTGTAGTAGGTGCTATGGAGATTTAAGGGAAAAAAAGTTTAAGGAAAACATTTTCCCTTTAAGATCTTCAAAGTAAATCTAGAGAGGAAAACATACGCCACTTGCTAGCAGGTACAAACAGTGGCCAATTATAAATAAGCTATGTTTATGTCTAATGGAACACATTAGAGAAATGATTCTTATGTAATGAGGTTTGTCAAAGACAACGTCTTGGAGCAAGTGAATCTTGAGCTTGGTCTTGAAGCCTCGAATATGCATATGGGTGAAGAGAAGACAGTCCTTCCAGGTACAGTTTGCAAAGGAGAGGGAATCAGAAGTGTATACAGTGTATACACTGTGTTTAGTCCGTGTAGAATGAGCTGGTGCATTGTTTGGCAGAACTTAAACCTTCAGAAGGAACAATGCAGGTTTTACAGTGATTTGTTGCCTTTGCAGGGGTGTGTGTGTGTGTGTGTGTGTGTGTGTGTGTGTGTGTGTGTGTGTGTTAAGCTATTGATCATGGTATTAAGCTATTGTTCATGGTAGACGACTAGACGAAATTTATTCAGGGAATATTGCCAGTATGTATCTCAATATTTTGCATTTATTTTAAATATTTTTCGTAGGATACCTTTGTGGCAGTTTTTTCATTTCTGTCTGGAAGGTTAGTGCACGTTTCTGAACAGGCTCCTTCGATCCTGCATTGTAAGAAAGAGTTCTTAGAGTCCTCTCATTTCGTTGAACTGCTTGCCCCTCAAGACGTGAGGGTGTTCTACACACACACTGCCCACGCTCAGCTTCCTTTCTGGAACAACTGGACCCAAAGAGGTAATGGGACCAATATTCAGATGTTTATCTTGCCTGGTAAAGATCAGTTTCATTCTTCCAGAAATAGTACACAAATGAATGCATTATTCAGAACATGCAAATATATAGTTTTTCTTATTTCTTCATTTTAAAAGTCAGAATGTGATGAAAATAGCATTTTAAATGCTGCTAATAACATAAAGATCCAATAAATTTGTTTTCATTTAATCAAGTTAGTTTCACAGACTATACACTATAGATATGGTGTGTTACAGCATAATGTATAGCAGGTTAATTGCTATAAAGTGTCTGTTGTTAATAAAATTAAATGTTTTTCCTCTTATACTGACTTCATTATTTCTCTGCTTTGCTCTGGAGGTAAGCTTCTCAAAGTTAGATCCCTTTCCAGCTTTTCTTCTCCCTAAAAGTTATGATCTCATCATTTTGTTTTCCTTCTGAAAGACTGCTTTTCCCGAACTGGGGGTGGGGAGTGGGTTCCCACTCACAGTTTTCTTTGTGTTATTCAATCCCATGTAATCTTTCATTCATTCATTCATTCTTTTTTTTAAAAAAAAATATTTATTTATTTATTTGGTTGTGCCGGGTCTGTGTTGCGGCAGGCGGGCTCCTTAGTTGCAGCTCTCCAGCTCCTTAGCTGCAGTACATGGGCTCCTTAGTTGCGGCTTGAGGGCTCCTTACTTGTGGCTCACAGGCTCCTTAGTTGAGGCATGCGAACTCTTAGTTGCGGCATGCATGTGGGATCTAGTTCCCTGACCAGGGATCGAACCTGGGTCCCCTGCGCTGGGAGGGCAGAGTCTTCACCACCGCACCACCAGGGAAGTCCCATTCATTCTTTCTTAAGTCACCCTTTATTCCCTATTTCATATTTTTTGTGAAATGTCTCTTAAAGAACTTAGTAAAGATCAACTTCCTTTTTGATCCCAAACCCTTTTCTCTCATTTAAAAAAAATTTTGATTATTTTTATTATGGTAAAAAACACATTCACAAAATTTATCATCGTAACCATTTTCAAGCGTACGGTTCAACTGTGGTAAAATGCACATAACAAAAAATTTACCATCTTCCCCGTCTGTAAGTGTACGGTTCAGCAACATTAAGTACATTCACAGTGTTGTGAAACAGATCCTCAGAACTTCATCCTGCAGATCTAGAGCTCTGTACTCATTCTGGTTTTTAATCCAGTTCTCAGTCCAGTGAAGAACAGTGTTACAGCCTTCTTTTTTCAATCACAGACCCTTGCCCCATTCTCTGTGCACGTTTTATATAAGCTTCAGAAAAGACACCTGTCACCCTTGCTTTCTTCCAGCTCCCTCTCTCCTTTTCCCATGATTCAAAAACACTGATTTCATTTTTCTTCCTCTTTCCGAAACATGCGTTTTCAACCTTTAATTGTCCACGTTTGTTTTCTCTGCTTTTGTTCATCGTTTATTCATTCCGTAGACATTATATAGCAGTCCCTGTGGGCCAGGAGCTGTTCCAGGTGCTAAGGTACAACAGTGAACAGAACAGACATGTGGTACTGTTCACCAGGTCTTTCCCATTTTCCCTTCAGTATTGCCCTATAGTCTCTGTCTGATCTTTTCACTTGTCTTTTTTTGGCTGTGCTGCAAGGCTTGCGGGATCTTAGTTCCCCGACCAGGGATCAAACCCATGCGCCTGCAGTGGAAGCGTGGAGTCCCAACCACTGGACCACTAGGGAATTCCCTGATCTTTTCACTTTCTTATCTTTGCTAATTACTTAATGGTATTTCCCCTACTTGTAAAAAGATAATAGTCCCTGAAAGAGTTGTCCCTTGGACCTAAACATTTACTTGCTCCATAAAGATGATGGCCATTTAGTTTACTTCTCACACTATACTTTCGCTTTAGGAACCCCAAGGATCCACACCCTCCTTGAGGGCCGTTGTTTAGCTCCACACCATTTCTGGGCTGTGCTCATGTTACCTCTTTCTGTCCCTTCTTTTGAACTCATAGGACATTAAGAGGACACGGGAAGCTCTAAACTCAGCAGTTGTCAGCTTTGGCCCTGTGTTAGAGCACATTTCCACTTAGGCTTGTTGTACAGACCTCTCAGAAGGATCTGATCGCTGTTTCTTTAGAACACACTTCCAGAAACAAGAATTCGCACGTTCCAGCCCAGGTGTGGAAGTGACAGCGGGCCCCCATCTACTGTTTTTGAGATCCGGTAGGCTGGCTCTCTGTTACAGGACTCCTGGTGGGGGGGCAGTTGAATTCAGGTGCCTGCTACAATGTATAAGTAGTGTAAGTGAGTTCACCTTACAGCAGAGTTGCAGTATTTTTTTTATGTGCAAAGAACGTTAAGCTCAGAATCTGAAGGTCTGAGTTTCAAATTGCATTCTGTCCCTTCGTGAACCTTGGAGGCCACTTGGCTTCTCGTTGTAAAATGAGAATCATAGTTTCTGAGGTGCCTGTTAATACAGGGTTTCTGTGAGAACCCAGAAAGCTGTAGGTGGGGGAAGGCTTGGAGATATTTGGGGCGTCCGGAGCATAAAGGCTCATCTTAACTGCTGTCATCTGTTGAACCGTTACTATTTGCCAGGGACCCTTCTCTTTGCTTTCGTGGATCAACTGAGTTAATCTTCATGAAGACCTTGTGAGGTGTAGGTACTGTCATTCTCCCCGGTAGACGGGCACAGTAACTGTATTAGTTCGGGTTTGCCAGAAGCGAGATGCTGACTGGGGGAGCGGGTGGAAGGTGGTGAGAGGAGCCCTCAGCCTGCATCGCTGGCATCGCTGGAAGGAGCAAGGCGGGGGGGAGGGCTGGGCAGCAGGAGCCTCGGGTGCAGCGCAGTCCAGAGAGCTTCTGGGCCAGGCAGCCAGAGGGGGTCCACCCGTTGGAGGAGCCCGGCGTCTCCATGGAATGGTCCTGCCTCGTTGCCTGCTCCGTGTACGGGCACGGGCCGGGGGCAGCCCGTGGGAAGCAGGGCTCAGGCAACAGTCGGGTCCCTCAGAGCCAGCAACTGTGCCCTTTCTTAGCTGCCATGGTCACAGAGATGCCAAGGTCACACTGCCTGCAAGTATGGAGCCGACCTTCACCTTGGCAGCGTGAATCCAGAGGCCCTCTGACCCCACAGCTGCTGGGACTGCGCCTTAAAGCGGGAGAACTGTCCTCAGACAAAGACGAGCGTTTGAAAGTGTCACCAAGGGACGGTTCCCACCCACGAGAATCAGCTCAGAGAATCAAGGATATTTTTGAAAAATCTTTATCTTGTCTTAATTCCTCCATAGAAACTCCAGAAACAGTTTCTGTGTTAAGATGATAGCATATCTTAGAGTAATTAATTTCTTTAGCTTACTTTGTCAAGTTCTTTCTGTTATTTCTCCCAGGCATTCTGTAAGAAGTTCTGGCTTCAGAATTCTGGGCCTGTAACTTTCATAGTTTCACGAAATACAGGAGTTTGGTCCCTTTACTTTTAAACTGGAGGACTTTTTTTTAAAATTGTGAACATTTTTCTTGATCACTCAAAAGCCCATTTTCTTATTCTTCCTATGATCCTTTCCTTAGGAGTGCAAACACCTGGACCATGTTCAGTATTTTGGTTCTTCAGAATCCTCATTGTAGCTGCTCCTTCAGTGTATATTTTTTAAAAAAGGTCCCTTGGTTGTAAACATTTCCTTGGTTTCTATAACTGAAAACTTCTCACTCCAGTGAGTAAATGCCCAAAAGATATATATTCAGGGAGTTCTACCAGATGAAATAAAGTAATCAACAAACATTTAGAAATAAGTTCAGTTTCCTAAGATGGGCAAATTTAAATGTTTCTGAATTACCACCTCACACATCAATAAAATAAATGCGAAGTCAATAAAGTTGATGCAAAACCTTTGTCATGAGGGGTGTGAGAAAGTGTTATTAATGACACTGAATTGGTACCATCTGCTGGAGCTAAGTTTGCCAATATATGATGAGAGTCATGAAACGATATCATCTAATCTAGGAACACAGCTCTGGGGAATTTGTCCAAGGAAAGAAATGTATGTATCCTCTACCTGAAAGCTCTAAGTAATCTGAATTCCCAGTTTTTGAGACGTGTCCAAACTATTACAGGGGGATAGAATATTACCAGCGAAATAATTGTGTCGCAGGATGATTACGTAGACATTTGAAGCATTGAGTCCAGACAGGAGCAGAAATGCAGACAGGACTGCAGGGGCTGACAGGGAGGGGCCTCGGTCAGGTGCTCGCGGGGTCTCACCTGAGGGTTACTGTTCAACACGAAAAAGCCCGGGGAAGATACTGGATGGAACTAGATCTTAGTGAGGGAGGAGAGCCCTATCTTAATCAAGAGCAGCTTCTGTCTCTGAAAAGAGTCTCCCGTTCGTGCAGTGACAGTTTGGGGAGGAGCTGCGTGCGTGCGTGCGGGACACTAACACGTGTGTTTGTTTTCAGCAGCCTCACGCTATGAATTCGCTCCGGTGAAATCCTTTTTCTGCAGGATCCGGTGAGTATGGGAGCTCCTGGAGGCCAGGAACGGTGGAGTGGGCTCTGGTTTTACTTTATTTTTTATTTGTTTTTATTTTTTTATTGACTGTGTAAGTTGATTTACAGTGTTTCAGCTGTACAGCAAAGTGGTTCAGTTATACATATGTGTGTGTGTATATATATATACACACACATATATATACATATATATATTCTTTTTCAGATTCTTTTCCATTATTGGTTATTACAAGATATGAAATATAGCTCCCTGTGCTATAAAGTAGGTCCTTGTTTATCTGTTTTATATATAGTAGTCCTTATCTGTTAATCCCAAATTCCAAATTCATCCCTCTGATTTTATTTGGCACTTATTTTGATGCTTTATTCAGCTAGGTCTGTTGTGGATGCAAAAGACAAGACTTGGTTCTTGCCGCAAGAAGCTTGTATTTTGATTGAGGAGAAGATACATGTACTTAAGAGAAAAGTAGATGACAGTGCAATAGGGGAAGAGACCAGAAAGATCATTCTTAACCCAGAGGCATGTGAGAGTTACTGGACATGAAATGTACTTTCAGATGACAGTTTTTGGGGGCTCTTTTGTTTTTGTTTGGTTTTTGTTTTTCAGTCACATTTAAACTTAATTTTTGAAATTTTGAACAACCTGAAAGAAAGCAGGATAGGTATATTTATGAGGACTTACAAGGTCCAGTGACAGTGAACTAGAAGGAAAGAGATCAAAATTTTAACAGTAGTTGATTTCTGGTAGGATATATTAGTGATTTTTTTTTCTCTTCCAAATTTACTGTGATATGGTAATGTTACTTTCAAAGTAAAAAGAAAAAATGGTTTTAAATGACGTCATGATCACCAACAGTAGTATTGAGGTTACTAAATGCTCTTGATATGTGGGGAAGAGAAATCCTTGTAATGGATCATTCAGACATTCCATGGAACTGAGGGGAACTCGTGCTAAGAGTATTCAAATGCTTGGGGAGGGATAACCTGGAAAGGTGTGCGTGTGCGGGGAGGGCCGTGTCGGTTCTTTCTGTCTCACAGGTGAGTTGTTGGTTATGAAGATCTGAGAGCAGTGCCTGCCGCGTAGTAAGCGCTCTGTGTGTTTGTTATGTTGGTAAATATTTTCAGGTGCCTTTCCTGAGCCAGGCACTGTTACGGGTGCTGGGATCAAAACAAAGTTCTGCCCTCATGGACCTTAGGTTCTGTAGTGGGGGAGACCAGTAATAAAGAGCTGTCTAAATGTACACGTGTTGGCTGTGATAAGTTGTACGTAGAACAGAAAAACAAAGTAAGGGGGTCCTGGGCAGTGGTTGCTGGTGTGCTCAGGGTGGTCAAGAAACTCTTCTCTAATGAGAAGCCTGAATGGGGCCAGAGGCCTGAAGGAGGTGAGGGAGCAAGCCATACGCGTGTCTGAGAGAAGCGTGTCTGAGAGAAGAGCGTTCCAGGCCAGTGCAAAGGCCCTGGGGCAGAGCACGCCCAGCCTGTGGGTGGTGGGAGGGGGGAAGGGTGGAAGAAGATGAGGAAGCAGGGGCCAGACCATAGAGCATTTTGACTTCTGAATGAAATGTTTTATTCAGGGTAGCCACTCAATTATTTTTAAAACTTTGAGAATTTTCAAAATAATATAAAAGTAGAGAAAAATAGTACAATGAACTGATATGCACTGATCATTCAGCATTAACTTTAACCTCGTGGCCAGTCCTGTGTCGTCTGTGCCACCACCTCTGTCCCCCCACCTCCCATCTCATTATTTTGAAGCAAATCCGAGCTCTCTCGTCATTTCCTCCATCACTATTTTAGAATGTCATCCTAAAGAGGAGGTTCTCCTGTGCCTCGAGGTGCTCCCATTGTCCCTCTCTGGCCAGCAGGAGTCGCTGGTTAGCTAGGCTCACTAGGTTAGCTCCTGGCCTGGTGACAGTCCCCAGTGGTTTTGACAGCTTCCTTTCTTTCAGATTTGCCATCCCAGGCTCAACCTAGACGGTTCCTGCCCCAGACCTGGGTCCATCATTTCTTCAGTATCCCCCATTCCTTGTACCAGGAAACAGCATTGCTCACCTGGAGGCCAAATCTGGGTGGGTGGTTGTTGCCATATGGTTTGTTGCTTCAGGACTGTTCAGTGAGTAGAGATAGGGCATTTTCCTTTCTTAGAAGGAAATGTCATTGATTATGGAAGGCTCACGTCGGGTGCCGTGCAGAAGGTCCTGTGCTGGGGTGGGAGGTTGGAGCGGGTGGGGGGTGGTGGTGGGCATGGCGCTGATGCGGTGCAGCCGGGAGATGGCGGGTCCTGGACCAGGCGGTGGAGGTGGAGGTGGAGACACTTTCGATCTTCTGGGTATTTCTGTAGGGGAGACCTAGCAGCATATACTGGTGGGTTAGTTTCGGGTGCGAGATAGAAAGAGTAATCAGGTGACGTGGGAGTCTTGGCTCAAGGTGCCGTGTATTGGGGAGGAGGAAACTGTAGGACAAGCAGCTGCCTGGAGAGCAGAGGGGAGAGTGTGTGCCTTAGTTTTAGGTGAGTGTGCAGTGTCGAGTAGAAATCTGCCTCGTGATGTTGACGAGGCGTTGGTCCCGGAGCCCGGGGTTCAGGGGAGGAGGCCGGGCTAGAGACAGATGTGCAGGTCATCAGCGTATAGATGGCACTGAGAAGCTCAGGACGGGATGAGCCTGGAGAAAGCATGCACAGAAATGGGAGGGGAGCCACTAGCACAAGTACACATGCTCGCAGGTGAGTGCCGGGAGAAGGTGCTCTTCTGAGCGGTGACCTAGGAAGCAGGGTCACGGCTGAGAGTGGAGAAGTGACAGGAGATGCTGGAGTTAGAGGAGAGAAGAGAGCGGGAGGGCGGCTAGAGACCCCCGAACATCCGCTCTCGTGATGGTTGGTGAGGAGAGGTGCGATGGGCAGAAACGGGGGAGTGTGAAATACAGGTTGGGACGTTCGGGCAGATGCAAATGGAAACGTCTTCCAGGCAGCCAGGCTGATGAAACAGGATGGACATCTGTGTGCTTGTTGCAGACCCCTCGCACCCGGGAGCCTCCTGAGAGGGAGCAAGCAGCCTCCGCGCCGGTTGGCCGAGAGGGTCCAGCCCCACCATCTCCCTGTAGCTAGGCACTGTGGGTGATGCTGAGCCGCACACCAGGTCTGCGCCGGGCAGCGGAGCGGCTGAAGCGGTGGGACTGAATCGGTCATTTGAACAAGGGCGTAGGAAGGGCTGACAGAGGGCTGGCTTGGGGGCGCGATCCCAGGAGGCCTTGTTTTCCGCCATGTGGTACTTGGTTTAGACACACGAGGCAAGACAGGTGACTGTGCCTGCCCCTCTTCCCAGCAGGAACAGAAAGTCACGCTGAAATTAGTGAGCGGTTCCCACTCACTTTGCTGAGCCGCTGAAATTAGTGAGGGGTTCACACTCACTTTGGTGAGCCACCTCTCCAGAAAGCCTCCTACTCATCCAATAACAAACGAGTATCATTGCCCGTGGCTATTGAAAATTTAAACTAACATGTCCCTCCTTTTAAAAATAAATATGTTTTGGACTTCCCTGGTGGCGCAGTGGTCAAGAATCCGCCTGCCAATGCAGGGGACACGGGCTTGAGCCCTGGTCCGGGAAGATCCCATGTGCCGCGGAGCAACTAAGCCCATGAGCCACAACTACTGAGCCCGTGAGCCACAGCTACTGAAGCCCGCGCACCTAGAGCCCGTGCTCCACAAGAGAAGCCACTGCAATGAGAAGCCCGCGCACCGCAACGAAGAGTAGCCCACGCTCAGCGCAACTAGAGAAAGCCCGCGCGCAGCAACGAAGACCCAACGCAGCCAAAATAAATAAATAAATAAGTCTAACGTTTTAGCTTCAGACATGTCTCTCTTGGAAATTACCACCAAAACGTTTTCCCCGGCCTTGTTTCACGTTGGACTAAGTGAACAGGTCAGGACTGGTACTAAACCATTTTTCTTCTCTTCAGTGGAGGTGAAGCCCGGGAGCTGGGGCAGCCTTACTGCCCGTTCCGGATTATCCCCTATTTGATTCATGTGCACAGCTCGGCCCGCCCGGAGCCTGAGCCCTGCTGTCTCACCCTGGTGGAGAAGATTCATTCTGGTTACGAAGGTAGGTCGGGAGCGTCTGCGTTTAGGTCAGATGTGACGTGTCAGCACATGAGAAAGACGCACGTGAAACCCTGTTTACTGCAGCCACTGTCTTCAGCTTGGCCCTGAGCTGATTTTCCCTGACGTCTCTGTTTGCTGACCCTGACTTCCTGTGTGGTCATCTCCTTTAAGGACAGCATGGCCCAGGGGTCTGAGCATAGACTTGGCCACAGATGCGCAGTCTTCTAATCCTTTCTCTACTGGTGACCATCCTGTGGCCTTTTGCTTCTGTCTTGCGTGACAGAAGAGCATTGAAATTGTTGCATACAGAGGTTACAAGAATGAATTTATATTTTTTAAGTGTTTTGAAAGCCCCCTGCGTAAAAAGTATAATTTGTGTCTTCCAGTGGCAGAACAGCATTGCTAAATTCATACATCAAAACAGAAGCAGCTTCCATTTATCATTTGAAATTACAGTTGGTTCTGCTGTAATGTGACATATGCTTTCCTAAAACTTACCATCCTGTGCAAAAAAATTCACACAAACCACAGGGCTTATATGGGAAAAATAAGTTTAGGGGCACAACACTCAAGTAACCATACATTAAAAATAAGACGGGGGGCTTCCCTGGTGGCGCTGTGGTTGAGAGTCCGCCTGCCGATGCAGGGGACGCGGGTTCGTGCCCCGGTCTGGGAGGATCCCGCGTGCCGTGGAGCGGCTGGGCCCGTGAGCCATGGCTGCTGGGCCTGCGCGTCCGGAGCCTGTGCTCCGCAATGGGGGAGGCCGCAGCGGTGGGAGGCCCACGTACCGCAAAAAAAACGGTAACACGGTGTTACACGTTAAATGATGAAGAAATGCACAAGTGATACAGTAAATGCGGCTCGCCACGGCGGAAAAGCCCTGTGGTTTGCTGTGGACATGGATGTTGGAAGGGCTGCAGCTTGTGCATTACTGTGAGGAGTGAGGGGAGGGTGGACTGAAATCAGAGGGAAAGTTCCATCACCAGGTTGGACGGGCGTGGCTCAGAGCACACCTGGTGAACAGAGGCTGCAGGTGGATGTTTCAGGTGTGCGCATGTTTCTTCATGTTCCTAACATGTTCCTAAGTTGACTCCATTCAACTAGCTGCTGTTTTCTGCATTCACCTCGTGTTTCTTGCAAATGAAATCGTGCGTAAGCAAATGCGGAATTAGTGTCATGCTCAAATTGTTCCCTGATGTACTAATCACTACATTGTCAAAGCAGACTAGCCGCACTGACCGTGCCAATTTTATTACAGATTAAATACGTCCCTATTGTACTGACGTTTCACATCCTATTTGCTTAGTTGTATTCAACCACTAAATATGATGAAACATGTTTGTCCTGAACTCTAAATGACCCCATCTTTGACTGTTAGATTGTGATGGATAAGCTATTCGATGTACACAGACTTTCTGTCTGTTTAAAATTAACTTTAGTAGGCATCACGTTTTGACCTAATTAAAATGTGGTTAATAATGAAAGTTATTAGCTTTGGCTGCTCAAAGGCCAGGTCCCTAGGTGAGATTTCTGCCATGGCCTATAGAGTTTGTTCCCTCTTTAATATGTTAAGTGGATAGTTAATTAGGTATTTGCCTTTAAACCAGTCTTTCTGGTTTCCATAGCTCCTCGGATCCCAGTGGATAAAAGAATTTTTACCACAACACACACCCCCGGGTGTGTTTTTCTTGAAATAGATGAAAGGTAAGTACTTCTTTAAGCCTAAAAGAAATTTGTTTCCGAAAATAAATAAAAGTATTTAAAAGTTTACATAACGTTTAACATATGTTAAATGTAACGTGATAGAGCTGAATCTATTCATTTGCACATTTGAGTTTTGTTAGTTTGAAATTTGTGTTGTGTAAATTTTTTTTAATGTTTATTTATTTTCCTTATATATATATTTTTGACTGCGTCGGGTCTTAGTTGCGGCACACGGGGTCTTTGTTGAGGCACGCAGGATCTCTTCGTTGCAGTGGGCGGGCTTCTCTCTAGTTGGCGGCGCGTGGGTTCCAGAGCGTGTGGGCTTTGTAGTTTGCGGCATGCAAGCTGTCTCACTGAGGTGCACGAGCTCAGTAGTTGTGGTGTGCGGGCTTAGTTTAGTTTTTAAAAAATTTTAACATACAGGGAATTCCCTGGCGGTCCAGTGGTTAGGATGCCATGCTTTCACTGCCGAGGGCCCAGGTTCAATCCCTGGTCGGGGAACTAAGATCCCACAAGCCGAGTGATGCGGCCCCAAAAAAAAAAAAGCTTTAAAAAAATTTTTTTAACATCTGGAAATGGGTTTATTACCTATTTATTACCGTTTAGTTACCCTGAAACTAAACAGTAATTAGTGAGATACCTTATATAATATAATCTGTAGAAAGTAAGAAAATTTTAGCTGAAGTTATTCTGAAAACAGCTTAAGTTTATTGCATTAGAAAGTATTTGTGAATTTGTACCCATATAAAATGTTTCTGGAGTCAGTTTTGTCTAAGTCATCTTGAGTGTCTGTACATCAGAATTTTCCCATGAACCTTTATCCTACAAATGGCTTTGTGACTGGTTGTCTATTTGATATCACCTTTTGGGAGACATTGTTTTTGTATAATTTTAATTATTCTGTATAAATTTGTAGCCTGCTTTATTCATTTAACATCATAAGCATTTTTCTATGTTATAATGTGATCTTTGTAGACTTTTTAAAAGGCAGCGAAATGAAGGGCATCAGAGACCTCTGAGGAACTTGTTAACAATATAGACTCCTAGTCTTACCACAGAAATTCTGATTTAGTAAGCTTGCGGTGAGCCTGCAAATCTGTTTTTTAGAAGTTTCACAGGTGATTTTGATGCAATATGTCAGATGACCAACACTTCTTAAATTGTGTATCTATTTCCCCACAATATAGGCACTTGGGTTGTTTGTAGCATTTATAAATGCTGTAATGAACATCTTTTGCATACCCTTTGTCATATTTAGAGTTTAGCTGAAAAGTACTGTTGAAAGTATATAAGGTATGAGTTACTTGGTGCGTGTGACATGCTGCCTGTGCTGTGTCTGTGCTCAGAGCAGTGCCTTTGCTGGGTTACCTACCTCAGGATCTGATTGGAACATCCATCCTGACATACCTGCACCCGGAAGATCGTTCTCTGATGGTCGCCATACACCAAAAAGGTAAGGACCTACTTCTTTACAGGAGGACATTTTTTTTTTTTCATTGATCTTTTTAAGTTTGTCATTTCATTTCTCACTAGAGGGTCTCACAAGCTCTAATTGTTAGAGCTTAACCTTTAACCAGGTAAGCAATGTATTGGAACTGCTGAAACCATTTTTTTTTCTGTTTTGACATTCTAACACACTTATAAATAAATGCCTTAAAAGAAGACATTTGTAATCAATATCCGTGTTAAATAAATTCTAATTTTGTCTTATTATTTTATATAGTCTTGAAGTATGCAGGCCATCTTCCCTTTGAACATTCACCCATTAGATTTTGTTCTCAAAATGGGGATTACATTGTATTGGATTCCAGTTGGTCCAGCTTTGTGAACCCATGGAGCCGGAAGGTTTCTTTCATCATCGGTCAGCATAAAGTGCGAACGTAAGTCAATCAGTTTGCGTATTTTCTAAAAAATCTTTTTCCAAATAATGTTCTTTGGCCCATTGATTCCTCTTTGAATCAACTAACACGTGAACTAAACGAAGGACAGGTTTTTTTCAGTGCTTCTGGAAGACAGTTTGGTAATAAGTATCAAAGGATTTGATACTTATTTCTACCTCCTTGGCCTAACGATTCCCTTATTGGAATATTCTAAAGAAGCTGAAATACAGAAAGCCTTATAAAGAAAAGACAGATTTTGCAGCATTTTTTAAATTGTAGTAGCTTAAATGTCTATCATTAAGTAGATTCTGAAATATCTGCTTGACATGTTATTATATTGGTCAATAAACATTTTTACAGAGAGTATGGGAAATTGATATATTAGATGATGTAAAAAGCAGCATACAGAAGTTTTTATACAGTATGATTATAATTATGTTTAAAACATGAACACTGTGAAATAGGAAAAAGAAGATTAGAAGGAAAGAAAATACATTTTGGTTATGTGTGGATAGTGGGATTTTGGGTGAAGTTTTGTTTTTTTTTCCTTTTCTGAATTTTAAGGTTCTCTTCAGTGAGCATGTAAAATTTTTTATATCAGCCTTCTGCTGTCAGATTCCACTTATTTGTGTCAATTTTATTAAATCTTTTTTTTTTTAATGTGGACCATTTTTAAAGTCTTCATTGAATTTGTTACAGTATTGCTTCTGTTTTATGTTTTGTTTTTTTTGGCCTCGAGGCATGTGGGATCTTAGCTCCCCCCCGCCAGGGGTTGAACCTGCACCCCCTGCCTTGGAAGGCAAAGTCTTTAACCACTGGACCACCAGTGAAGTCCCTAAATCTTTATTTTTAATATTTAAATTCTTTCATATTTATTCTCCTGCCAGCATGGCTGACCCAAGCCTGCTTGATTGTTGTTACCTGTCCATACAACAACCTTGCAGAATGGATCCAGAGCAACCTGGACCACGGTTCTTGTAATCTGAGATACTCCTGTAGTCCCTGGACTTTGTGGTCCATTTAAAGTTGACCTATAGGTTTCTCAACCGGCCCATCCCATAAGTTTCCTTTTGATGTCTATTTGTTTTAAGAGTGGAAATTATACTTAACTCTTCAGTGTCATGCTGAAATTGAGCAACTCTGTCTTTTGTATTTTGTTATACAACTTTGTACACAGAAGAATAAAACTTCTGTGTACAGAACAGTACATTTCCCAGTAAGAGTATTTTATCACGTGTTACATCGTGATGGAGTGATGTTTTGGCCACTGTGAGATAGGCCTCAGGTTGCTCTGACCTTGTTGTGCTCCAGGGTTTGGCCTCTCAGCAGAGCAGGTCTGCCGCTTTAATGGAAGAATCAGGCTCCTTGCTGCCCTGACTCATGAGGCTGATTTGTGGTAGAAAACTAACTGGATAATTGAGGTATCGAACATGACTGCCAAGGAAGTGCTATTCGTGCTGCTCAGAAAGGACTTTTTTTTTCCCAGTAGGGAGACCTCTTGGGAAATGAAAAGAAAATCAGATGGTTGAGGACTTCCCTGGTGGTCCAGTGGCTTAGACTCCACCCTCCCAATGCAGGGGGCCCGGGTTCGATCCCTGGTCTGGGAACTAGATCCCACATGCTGCAACTCAAAAAAGGTCCCGCGTGCCACAATTAAGACCCGGCCCGGCCAAATAAATAAATATTTTTTAAAAATCAGATGGTTGCTTGGGATGAATATAGGAAACCCCAAAGCAAGTACAGTTCCTCTGATGAGACGTCCATCTGGGTGTCCGTTGACCAGTCTGAGTACCTCCCTGTCAATGCTAGAGGTGCATCCTAGATTCATTCTCCAAGCCATCCTTTCAGTTCTTTGATTAAAAATATATGGAATAAACCGACATATTAGTACTCCCAGTGTTTTCAGTGTTTTTTAAAATTACACCAATAATTGCATCTCAAGATCCAGGATTATGTGAGGGAAAG